GGTGTTTGGCAGGTGTTTTGCTGGGTGCTGGAGCTTCTTATGACAATATTTAGCCTTTTGTTGTTATTGTTTTTAATTAAAACGCTGCGTGAAACAAGAACTCGGGACTGGTAAATCAGTCCGTCTATTTATCAGAAGGAAAACTGTCTCGGCTTGAGAAAGCTCTGCAGCAGCCCTTGCACTGTGTGGTGTGTTCTTAAATTGTGGTTCACGTGGCTGGAGAGAGATGCGCGTGATGGGAAGCGCATCTGTGTTTTCTGGTGAAGGAACAGGTTTGTCGCCTCTCCTGTTGCTTTTCCCTCTAGAGCTTATTGCATTTAAAAGCGTACGCATGGTTTCTTCGTATCCAACACCTAAAATCCTGTAATTAAAGAGTGCCCACACACAGTGGGAAGGAGATGGAAAGAAAAGTCTGATGCAGTTCTTTATCTTGAAATTCTTCTTTCCTCCCCAGATATGGCAATCTGCTCTAAGCACCCTGAACCCGAACCCCACCGACAGCTGCCCGCTCTACCTGAATTACGCCACGGTGGCCGCTTTGCCTTCCAGGGTCAGCCGGCACAACAGCCCGTCTGCAGCGCAGTTCATCACCCGCCTGGTTAGGAACTGCCTTCCCGGAGGCGTCAACAGATGTATTGTTGTAAGTGGCTGTTTGAAAATGCTTCTGGTGAAATGTCTAGTCAAGTGTTTTCTCGACTCTTCAGAATTTTAGCTGTATCCAAGGAGACTAGAGGTGGACAAATTTTACCCATAGAATTATACCGACATTTATAAATGGTTTCGCACTGATGCATAGACAAGACCTGACTATAATAGCTTATGCATGCTCAAGCAGTTGGAGGGATTTAAGGTTGGATATGTATGGGATGTCTTCAACTAGGAACGTCCATGCAAAGGGAACCATTAGTGGCTTTTCTCAAACTAGGTTTTGTGACATTAGCACAGGCTTTAGAAGATTGAGGTAGCTTAAGTGCAGGGTGCTATGTCTATGTTGCATAACAAGCTCGTGGACTGCTTTGGACATCTTCCCTAAGAGCCTGATGAAGTTGTTACTTGTTTCTGTGGCTTATGCAGATTAATTCAGATTTCTAGGTTGTTAGAGAAGACTCATATAGTCACTGTCAGTAAAAAATCTAATTATATTCTTCACTTGGAAAACTTACTTGCAAGCGTAATAAGTCCATTTTTTCCCCTTATAGTTAACTTTGAAGATGTTTAGCTAAAACTTTCCATTCGTAATTTCTGTAATGAACTTCAGAAAAATATTCTACAAGTTAAAAAGCTTCAGGG